CTTTCTCTCTTTCTCTCTTTCTCTCTTTCTCTCTTTCTCCCTTCCTTCCTTCCTTCCTTCCTTCCCTGAACTGCATGACATTTGCAGGCAAAGCTGACCACTGAAACTGATTTTGCAATTCCCGAACACATGATATGACAGCACAATTCTCATATAGAGAGATACAGATTGTGCCTTCAAGTCAGTGTTGACTCCTGGTGACTGCCTGGACCAGTCCTTGCAGTTTTCTTGGCCAGATTGCAGAAGAGGTTTGCCCTTGCCTTCTTCCTAGGGCTGAGAGAGAGGGACTGGCCCAAGGTCACCCAGCTGGCTTTGTGCCTAAGGCAGAACTAGAACTCATGGTCTCCCAGTTTCTAGTCTGGTGCCTTAACCACTAAGGCGGTGTGTGTGTGTGTGTGTGTGTGTGTATGACTAATCATTATTTCATATTTAATTCCAACTTCTCAGATAACTCTGGTGGTGATAATTCTGCAAGGAGGGGCCAGGGAATCCTAAAGAGAGAACTGCAATAATTTTTACCATATCAGTTAAAGGTGCTAGTGTCTTCCTTGTAGAATGAACTTAAGTCAGTTAAAAGGCATAACATTCATGGAATTTATGGTATAGGAGATACACTCTTATATGGAAATTGCAGGAAAATTAAATCTGCATTAAATGTCCTCATTTCTAGGTAATAATGAAGCAGCTACATCAAGATCTCAAGTAAATTTAAAATGAATTAGAGCAGTTCCTTATGCTATCCATCAAAATGAAATTTTGGCAATTCAAATCTTGTAATTTTTAAAAGACACTTGCCTCCGTTATCAGCATTTTAATAGATTTTTACATGTACATAAAAAGTAACTGTCCTATTTTTGTCAAGGTTATTAAGAAGTACAGTAGTATGCACACGCACACACACACACAGCTAGAGTAGCTAACTCAGGAAAAGAAAAGTAATTAAAAAAAAGCTTCTGCCAGGTTTCAAGTTGGTAACCTTCTATATGCGAGGCAAAGATAGTAGCCACTCTGCTTTTTCATTGCTACTAGTAAAAGGAGGTATACAAGCTATTAGAGTCACAGTAAGCACTGACTCAGTTGAAGAGGTTTCCTTCCTCTGCAAAGTACCCAAGAATTGCTGAAGTTAGCCTGCGACAAACAGAAGTACCCTATCCCAAACAGGGATACTCAAGATGAAAGAACATGGAAAGGGATATTTTAGAAGTACAGCAGAAAAATCTGCCCTGAGATTGTTTTGATACTGAGCGTAGGATTAATAGAGGGTCACATCACCCATTTCTACCTTCCACAAATGATTGTCTCCCTATTCCCACAACAGGGCACGCAGGCAGTGCGGATAAGTCTCCAAATAATTATATACATCAGATTGCCAACCTTACAGTAGAGGCTTCAGTAGCAATACAGAATGGAGAATGTTTCTGATGTCCATCTTTGTTTTTTTTAATTTAAGAAGAAATGGCAAACTCATCAAAATTCAGTATGTTTATTTAAAGGTATGAATTTTTTTTCTTTTGTGAGTCTAAAATTTAAAGATATTTCTTTTCTCCTAGCCATCAGTATCTCCTTAATTAGAAAGAAGGAGAGAAACAGAAAGAGATAACAAGTCTCTGCGGAAGTAGAGACAGTTAACCATTTAAAGAAAGAAATTACAGTTGTCCCCATGAGGGTCTTCTTCAAGAAGTACTGAGAATTACATCACCTTCTCAGCCTGAGGGGAGGGGATGATGGGGAACTTTATAAAGCAGTATAAGAAACCATGAAGCAAAGCCATCGGGCTAAAGCTATCATGCAAGAATGGATAAATGATATTCATATTCTCTGTTTACTCAGGTATGATGTGCTCAGAAAGAATGGTACAATTAGCTAATAGATATAATGGCTTTAGGTGGTCTTTCTCTTGTATTTCTCTTTCTCTTGTATTTCAGTTTACTCAAATCAAAGTCATTCTTGCTGCATTGTGGGTGGGAAGAGAGAGGGAAGAGTCCTTTATCTATTCTGCTTAATGGGCCCCTAGACTTCTATCCTAAGTCCTGTACTAATGCCACCACAGAAAGGAACTGAATTCAGACAGCTCACCAGAAATGAGAAAAATAATAAAGAAAAGTTCCCAAACTATGGGATGAGTTGAAGGAGGTGGATTGTTTTGGTCCAAAATTTTAGAAGAAATGAAGTAACCTATAAGATGTGGCTTGTTGGAGGAAGCAGAACATATCTCAAAGTGTATATAACTTCTCCCACATTTACCTGCATGCATATTTAAAATCAAGAGATATCCTTTTTGGAGAAATGTTCACTGCAGCAACCTCATGAATCCTTGGATGAATAATATTAAGATCCATTTCAAGGCTTGTTATTAGACAGAGACAACCAGTGTCAGCTGAATTGACCATCTACTTCAGGAGCTGGATAAGGAGAGTGGAACAATACTTAATCTTTAGTCTTAG